ATCGTTATCACTGTAAATATAAAATCGTGGCATTTGCATCCACCGCGTTTAATTCCTGGAGCGATTATATAAAAGTTTTCTCGATCACCCGACTAGCTGCTTTAATTCGTATTTTCTTTAGGGACTACGCTTCGTCTTTTACGAGCGCGTATTTCTCTTCCCTATCCTACGGTTGGAAACGAGCTGAGTTTTCCCTCTTCCTCCCTTACGCTTCTCTTCCCATTCCACGTTCTTTTGAGTTGCCCTTGTGCAGTTCCGTCAAGCTCTCATCCTTCTGCGTACATCCTTCTATTTTGCCAGACACTTTGACAAAGATTAGATCTTGCTAGGCGTGAAATGTGATTAAGATATAGAGGGAATGAGATGCTCGTTGATATCAAAAAAATTTTGTTATGGAAAATAATTGCAATATATCGATAAAATTGAAATCCTTTTATATTTTTTACGTAAATATATCTTTTATATCTAAATATCTTGCGTGAATCTGTCTAGGTAAAAATTTTTTGAAAATATTTTTGTATTATTATATAGTAGGTTCTTTAAGCTTTTACGGCGGGGACATAAATTTAAGCGTGTAACGTCAGATCAGAAACATAAATTGTTTTATAAGGAGAGATATTGCCCGACAAAATTCGAGTAGACATTTTAGAAGAACGCAACGGGGACAAAGAGGCGTGTTTAATAACTTGTAAAATATGAGATGCAACCAGAGACATTTGCTCATTCCGACGTCCGGAGGGTGACGTTCTTCCTCCAAACATCGTATAATTGTATTCACGTGGGAGCCCCGACAAAGGGGAAGCGCGATCGAAGTCGGAGGGAAGGTCCGGGGCGGTTCCGCGGTGACTGAAGAAGTTTATAATCCATGACGTTTCCGGCTTTGCGGAGGGAACGAAGAAGCCTCTTATGTCTTTCGAGCGAGGACGAGGACGACCAAGTGCCAGATTACAGCCAGCTGCATCCGCGTGTCCTGGGGACGACGCGCGAATGCGCGGCAAGGACCATTTTAAAAAAATGGCCACCATCGGGATGCCATTTGCTGGAAGCTGGTCCTCTTTCTTCGGCAACGGGCGATAAACACTGGGATTATCTGCATCCTGCTTAACAGCTCCTGGACACGTTTCACGAAGCTGGATCGTCCGGCTGAGGAATGACTCGCATTCCTTTCGATGAGAAGCACTTGTACACCAACGCACGAAGACCGTCCGGAGTGACACGTACGAGTTGACGTATCGTATATTCCAAGGAATATTTCCGTCGGTGCATGATACTTATATACGCCGGCGAAACCACGATGCGTTATTCGCAAAGCGCTGAAATATGTCATCTGTCTTAGATAAGGCACGCTTTCCTCCGCTTATCGAATTGTCTGTGTACTTCGTAATAGCGTTCCGACACTTAAGCCGGTAATTGCTAATTACTCTTCGTCGAATTTACGAGTTTCGGATAAGAAAAAAATGCAAACCCGTCACACTCTCCTCTTCGTACCTCAACTTTAGATTATTTAGCGTCGGTGCTTTTATTTCGAGATTTTTGTATTATTAAATTAATTAACGGAGGTGTATGCATATAATTATATTTACAAGGGGATATATTACGCCGGGATAATAACGCCAGATTAGTCATACTAATTAATCATACTGCTGTCATGTTGCCAACAATTGTATCATTGTCAACAATTGTTGGCAACACGACAGAGCAGCTTCGTAGGCAGTTGGCTGACTGGATATATTTTCACCGTTTCGAAATTGACAAGTAAGGCAAGTAAACTCAATTTCGCGAGTCCCGCGGACACAACATCGCACATGCACGCTCCTGCTACTCCTTTATCCTCGTCAGCTGTTTCCATTACTCCTATCGCTCCGGCGAGGTTCTAGGATTTTTCGAATATCCCATCAACGTACGGAAGTCGTATATTACGAGCCGAGAATGTGTACGAAGCCTGGGGCGTGCTTCGCATGCTAGCGATTACTTTTACCTTCGCCCTTTCGTCCTGGCAGGCGGTAAACGAGCAAGCGGTCTTTTCCTTCGGCCTGCCCTCCGCGAGCTCGAAGGACCACCCTTTTTCGCTCCCTCCTATCCTACCGTCGTTCTTTTCTTTTCCCGGTTCGCGTCTACCTGCATTTTTAGCGTCGAATCAACGGATTGGTAGTCGATTGCTAGCGGTGAGAATGTCAAATTCACCTTTACCTGCGTGTGAGATTTAAATGCTTTCATGTATAACGCATACAAAATTGGAATGTCTTTAATTTCGTTTATTATTATTAATATTAAAAATATTATGCACAGAGATATCACATGTGTCTTTTTATCTTTAACAAATTTTCAAAGAATCTTTTGCACTCTCCAAGAAAATGGAAGTGAATGCAGATTAAATAAAGTGATATACGAAAGTAAAAAACGAGAGTTTATGGAAAGTGAAACGAACATTAATGAAATCTATCTGCAGATTATATTTGAATTTTTATTTGACTATCTCTTTCTTGATTTAGCCTAGCTATTATATTTTCTGTAGAACGTCAGTTTTCGTTTGATTCATACTCTTCCACCTGCCATTATTACACTAATCTATAGATCTCTCAATCGTGTGGATCTGGCGCCAATAAGTAGAATAAAGTGGAGGGTTGACATAAAAATAACGTGCGCCAGGCGCCTTCTACTGTCATGACGGCATTATGGCTTTCGATTTATAACGTCACACACGAAAGGATGATTGCCTTTTGCGATGAGTGGATATCATGAGGGGAAACATTGGAAGGAGTAACTAGAATTGCTTGACCAGAACCAACAGACCAACAGAGAAGCACCTTATCAAAGTCTGAAAATTATGAAGAGAAATTCGTTTTCTCGAAGATGAGAAAGCTTTTGTATGTTTTGATATGCATTATAATGCATATAAACTGTAACAATAACAAGGATCAAAGTTGTATCACAAAAATATTTATTTTCGAGTATAAATTTGGAAAGATTTATAGTTTAATCTATAAAATTGAAGGCACAAATATCAACTTACTATGATTGCAAATTATACTAATAGCGATAATCTATCAATATTAGATTTTAATTGATAAATGGACTTGTTTGATTACTTTATAGAACCGTTGCCGTCGGAATAACGTGAGCAGACGTTCGTAAGCAATACGTAACATTATTTATGTTTTTCCGCAATAAATTGCCATAAAATATTTTATTACAAGCATTATGATGCATAATTCAATTAGAAACGCAAATGAATATTAATTTATACAATAGCAAGCAGCTCGCGCTATTTATAAAACGGCATTGAAATGGCAGCGCAAATGTCTTATTATTAATTTAATATATTCCAGTTTTCATTATTTATGCATTATTAATAGTAATAACACAATATATAAAATGTATGAAATTAATACAATTTGTTGTAAACTGCAATATTGCTGTCTGCTGTTATAAACACATTAATAAACATTAATCTCTAAATTTGTCGACATTATTAAAATAAATAATTTACAATAAATACACAGTATTTTATATATATGCATAACATATTCTTATTGTATATTATTATTATATATTATGAGAGAAATATAATCCATATAAAATAAAAAATTATTTTATATCTGTTCGATATTTTTCGAGAAATAAAATTAATTTTCTTTGATTTGAATTAATATTTATTTATTATATAATTGTACAAAGTGTAAAATTTTTATTTTAAGTGGAACAATTGCAATGCCAAAAGTCTAATATAATCTTTACACTCAAATTTGGAATGACTCATATAAATGTTACTTAAATACTTGTATTAATCATTAATTATATTTATATAAAAACGTTTAACATAATGGTAATTTAACATTAAAATGTATAATTACTTGCTGAGATATAGTATTAGCTTAAAATATATTTCAAAATTGCGTGTTTTACGAGGAGAACCTAATTCTTCATGGCCAAGGCCAAATAGACAATTGAGGAATCGCTATAAATCACTTAAGAATTTTTTTCCACTCCTACAAAGGATTTTCTTCCGCCAATACTCCAATTTTTTTCTATCAACCCGCATTTGCCGAGACGAATAGAGATTCAAGGACTCGTCGCAGCTCCATTGCATTGATTCTTTTCATTTATACGTGTTACCAATGCATCTCCTGAGAAACAGATTTCAGTTTTCGTTTCGGCAGCACGGCGTGCTGACGACTATTTGCACAGTCAATCGATAATAACGTGAATTTGTGGACATTTGTGTAAAGGAAAAGAATTCTTCATAGTTCGCCATGTTTACCGTCGCCGCCAGATTCCGACGGGTTTCTCGCCGTTTCGTTGCTTTGTCGACAATAGTTGATAATCAGGTGATTTGCGTGTTCACATTTGAACATTGAAACATTAATATATTTATTGATATAAGTATTAATATTTTCCATTTAATTCTAATCGATGTTATAATAACAATATTTATAATATTATTTTATTTATCAAGATGTGATTTATCATATGTGTTTATCGAAATTTTGTACCTTAATTAATTTCGATCAGAAAAATTTAATAATCCTAAAATAAATTTAATTATTACAAGCAAGATGAAGAAAATTCATAAAATTGTTCTTTTATAATAAATAACATTACAATGTACAATTGTAGAAGAATATGGCATTTCTTTGTTGTTTAATGAAATTTAATGTAAACACGTTAAAAAGTATAATTTTTTAAATAAATACAATAAATTTTTTTATAATAGATAAATAATTGTAATAAGTAATCATAATGTTTCAAACTATGAATTAAAATTGAATTAGGAAATAAAAGGTTTTAAGTTATTAATTAAAAAATTATTAATCCTTAAGATTATTAATATCTGATTAATATTAAAACGTTTCTAACATCTTTCTTTCGATTAAGTATTTTTATTAAACGTCTTTATTGATCTGTATATAAATTTTTATTAGTTAATAACTGTTAGGTTGAAAATATTCGAACATATACATATATGTACACATTATATTAATATATTATTTTTATTACAGGATTCCTCATGTGGCGAAGAAGAATTGTCATCATTGGTTCACCGCCTAACTTGCAGCTTATTAAAGGTAAATATTTTATATAAAATCTTTTTTAAAAATTCCGATTCAAATGCACAAGATAATGAAAAGCTAAAAAAATTAATTTTATTTGGTAATTCGCGCAAAATGATTTATAAACTTTTTTAACAAGACAAAAATATGTGTGCTATCTAATATTAATGTGTAAAAAAATCTGATATTAATTAATATCTATTTGTAGATATAATATTATAAAGATTTAATATTACAAAATATTAATTAATATCTATTTATTGTATTATCATTTAAATGATTCAATTGCATTTCTTCGTTATTTATTTTCATTTATCATATCTTGTGTTATAAATTACTTTAGTCTGTAATGTAATTATACTATATAACATAATTTGTGAAAGCACACATCTTTCATCCTTATAGAGATATCTTTTGTTAAATTTTAATGCTTTTTCTTTAATAAGATCAAAATTTCAATAGTTTTTCGAGCAATTAGAAAAGTAGTTATATATAGTAATAGAAAGTTTTTCGTAGAAATAAAAACTTTATATAATTTTTTATATTTAAATTTTCTTTAAAATAAATTTTAATACTGTGCGTTTTTATTCGTGGAAAAATGAAAACATCGAAAATTCTTGTATTTAAAGAAATGAGCAATGATAAATATTTTTATATCACAAATATTATACGACGTGTAAAAATGTCATAATATTTTTTAAGCAATCTCGAAATTATCCTGATAAGCGAATGCGGATTATTTATAGCGAGTCGTATCTTTCCTCCCTCTTAGTACTAGAATCATTAAATTAATCTAAAGAATAAAGCTGCATGACGCATCGAATTACATTACAGGAATTTAATTAATATTTTTCTCGTGAAAGCTATACGAAAGTTCTTGATATTACAGAAAAATGTTGTGACATATAGTTAGAAATAAATTTTTGTTTTAAATGAAATTGATAACAATAGAGCGATTTTTTAATTTTGTGCCGATAAAAAGTAAAAGAAATGAACGCGTCAATTTTTCTGATGAATTTCTTAAACAATGAAAAATCTTATTCTAATTAAATATAATCTCCAATTTAACAATACATTTACCTCAATGTTAAAATCGTAAAACCGCTAATTTATAAAACAATGAAAACAAATGTCGAAAGATACTATATCGATATCGTACATTATCTATTGATGAATATACTGAGGGAAATATAAAAATATATTTTCCTAACATCTTAGAAACGAATCAAGAATTCTGCGTCTCTCAATAACTTCTAATCATTTCTTATCACTTGGATAGTAGAATGAAATTTATTATCACAAGCGAGATTAATCGAACAAGTGAGAAATTCCTTTTCGAAAATTTCAATCGTGTTTTCGCAATGCCCATCTCTCCGAGACGTTAAAAGGATCTTATCATCGGCCGCGATAGAAGTGTTATGCGAAATGCAATTTCGTTCCGCGTAGATACCACGCGTGTTGTGTATCTTCTGGAGAGACGCATCGGGCGTCATTATTTACGCCCGCGTGCGTGAGATCCTTTTATAAGGTGATAAAGGCAAGTCTCTCTCTCTCTTGCCCATGGGTGAAGGCACTGAAAGTGGTCCGGACTATCACGCGAGCCGACATGCAAACCGATTCTCTCTGTCGCGTCGGACTTGCTGCACTCGCGCTTTCACATGTCCAGAAGAGAGAATGCCTCAAGTGTATTCATGACGAAACAGCCGCGGCTCGTCGACACTCGCGAACGCGACAGTCGGTTCTGCTTGTCCCTCGCGAATAGCTATCATGAAGCCATTAACTTTATTATACCGAGCTATTAACTTAAATATTACGACTCGCGTGTCGCGCACCTTCGGGCTCTCTGATTTATCGCCGGGAAAGAGATCGTGATGTAACGTAAACGCCGGTCTGTTTGGTCGCCATCGCTTTTACCTGTCGAGCATCGACGGGAAGAGGAGATCTCCGAGTACCAACGTGGCGTTGGACGATCGATTAAGGATGCCTGCTTGTGACGCAATGTCCGCCGATAGCTATCGGTGGGCGCCAATTCACTCGCGTGATTCAGAAATTTGACTCGGAAATTTAAAGCACGTTACGATCGTGCGAGATACTCCCGAAGAATGTCACCCAAACTCGGATGAAACGATAATATCGATCTCAAGCAGGGGTATTTTTCAAGCATAAATTGGATGTTATAAATGTGTACGATTTGTGTACAATATCAATTGTAAGAAGAAAGGACCCCTGATACAAGATTATATCAGATATGCTTAAGGTGAACAAAGAAATGGATACCTGCCCGGAGGTGGAGTCTGCGAAGGAAAAAAAATTACGAAAAAGGATGACACGTTTCGCTGAAAGGGTGGGTGTCCGGAATAGTGGGATTTTATATTAGTCTGAGGATTCGAAATGAGAATTTACGAGCGGGACGCGGAGAGAACATTGTTTCAAATAAGACGTCTTTGGGCTAACTTTCGAGAATCCTACCTACCTATCTACCAGTAGTGATCGCTTATACGTTGCTTGGAGAGAGGACACTACCGCAGATAAAAGGATAAAGGACGCCCTGGGATGGAAACGGGCGGAGGCGCTCGGGAAGGAAGATCGCGAGGATTGAGAGACAGTTGTAAAAAGGATGCGCGCGAAAAGGGGAAAAAATAAGAGACGAAAATTAAGGCGGAGATGAGAAAGATAGAGGAGAGGATTCCGCAGGACACGAGGGATGTGTTCGAGAGAAGATGAAGAAGATTGCTCCAACAAAGAACGAAAAGGAGACCCTGAAAACAAAGAGAGGGAGCTATTCGATGGAGGAGAGGAAGAGAAGAGAGGATGGAAAGGGCGAGTCTAATGAATATGGCAGAGAAGCGTCCCACGATGGAAGGGTTTTCCTTCGACCCATGATTGTGCGAGACCCCTATAAGTATGTAAATGAAGTATATTATTCCAACGTGTGTCGGTGTGCGTCATTCGAAGATCGCCGGACAGGGAGGGGGCGGTAACGTGTACGCATGCGCATCAACATCTTCATGAACTTGTTATTATACCAACCAGCGGATAATCAAAGAGCGGCCGCTCGTATATGGCTGCTTGCCATAGTTAGCGCGGTCTTTCCTTCGGTTTTCTCTTTATCCTTTCGTTCGCCGCACGTCCTGTCGATCGACGCGATGCATCGTTTTATCGCATCAATTCTTCCTTTTTTTTGTAATTTATATTCTTATTACTTTTCCTCGAATATTCTCTCTCTTCCCGCCCGGCAATAATTCTGCAAATTCTTCAAAAATTAAATTCATTATTGATCGCGCAAATTTTGTTCTTTTCTATATTTTTCTTCAGCTGTTCCTCTTCTGTAGAGTTTTTAAAAATTTATTTAGTTGTAATGCAAAGTGCAAATTTTATTATGTATCTATTATTTAGAAAAAGCGTCAAATTTTGATTATTTGACAGATATTATTATACTAGTTACTTTACAAAAAGAAATTATATAAAATGGATTTAATAACGATAAACGGAAAGAACAAGCGATAAAGAGACTTTTTTGCATTTTTTTATTTGATACAATTTCAAAACACTACCGGACCGAACGTTTTTCGTACATCGCATTAACGATCAAGATCAAGTAGTCGTTAAACTTGGACTAACCCGAGTGCTCGCATATATGGTCTTTCGTAAATTTTCCAAAGGCAGTCTCATGTCGACGTAGCAATTTAGAAGCTCCTAGTCTTCAGCTCGCGCTTATATACATTGCACCGAATGTGCACGTCACTTATATCGACGCAAAGAATTATTTCGAGAAAGAAACGGTTCTCGAATAAAATCTTAACGCACTATTTTATACGTGTACACGAGAAAATTTTATAGATACGTTTGCGTAGAAACAATGTTGTCTATACATTTTTATTTAACAGAGCATTAAATCTTTTTTAAAACACTTGAAAGAGAAAATTTGTAATTTGTTAGATTACTCATTACAAAATTGACGTTAGCAATTTCAGAGAGAAAACGTGTCTTAAATTTTACTAAAATATCTCTGCATCTTGTCAAAAGCTCTCACAATCGTACATATAATATATTTATAATCATGGATAATGTGGTTATATGTATTTTCTTCAAAATGGACTATTTCCCAGGTAGAAACCATCATAATATGTTGGTATAATGTACAATAGATAAATTTGGAACATTTATTTGATGACAAGATGGTATGGCACGTTAAGATGGCTCTTAATGAACAAAGTTTTCATTACAGCGAACATTTAAAATTAAAGTAGTCTACCTGTCTCTCTCTATATATCTTGTCTCTCCTTTTGCTATAGTTTCTTATCCCAATGGGATAGTTTCTTATCCCATGGGATTTCACCTGATGGGATTTGTGCATTTCACACCTCCATGTTTCATATCTTGTCATTATATATTAAGTTTTTGAATTTTGGCGACTGTATTTCTGAATCGACACAAATGGATTGTTTAAATAATTTCAGGAAAGATATACGAGAAGAAAGAAAATACATATTATATATATTTTTTTAAATTTACTTGCGACAATTGTTTATGCAAATTACATGCTTATTGTACGTAATATTAAAGGCAGTTTTATATTTAATATTAACTGAATGAACGTACAGAAAATTTTAATCACTGAAACTCAAACGAGTTATCTTAAAGATCAAATACGTGGTCAATTTGATATATTTTACAAAATTAATTCTAAACATGAAATAGAAAAGTTTAATTGAATAAATGTTTGATTCCCTCGTGAATTTTAAGACTCAACATTTTATTGTAATTTCTAGTTTTTCCCGGCCTTCCTAGCTAGAGTATAGGTAGCTGTTGTTAGGGAATGTCTTCGATATTGATCCGTTCGAAAGGAGCTCGACGGGGTGGAGTCGCTTCGCCCTAAGGGTAGTTTTTACCCCACCATCGCTCGGCAGTTTCCGATTGGACGAGAGAGGAAAAGATGGCCGCCGAGTCACGTACCGGAAACGTGATGCCCTGATATAGTCAGATGAGGGCTTTCCTTCGGCTTTTCTCTCCTT